ATGCAAATGAAGCCCGGGAAATTCAAATCCCGGGCTTCATTTGCAACTCCGGTTGCCTACATTAACCACCCTAGTTCGAACTAGGGTGGTAGTGTAGACATACCCTTAATGTTTCAGAGAGTTTAAAGGCAATAGCTCAGGGTAGGATCTCTACTAGGATCTGCTCCTTTTTTTGATGCTCAGGTGGTAAAGCCACCCACAAGTCCCCTGCAAGGATATTCCCTTGCACAAAAGAGTTCCTCACATGCACAGAACCAGTGTACCTATTTCCTATACCTCTTTCTCCACAGTTCCTTTGGTTTAGGATTGCCATCTTTCAGAAATTGAACACCCTTCCCCAAGGCTGCACCCCACCCTTCAATTTCTCTGAGGCCCCAGCTCCCATACATTCACTCCATCTCTCCTTTCTCTGTTGCTCAGTCCCCCCTTCATTCACTGGCTCATTTTCACCAGTCTGGGGCAGGAGGTTGAGATATGAGAGTGAGTATGAACTGTAGACTGGGGGTGTGGGCTCTGGTGTGGGGCCAGTAATGAGGGATTCAGGGTAAGTGGAAGGAGGTGAGGGAGGAATGGGGTACGAGCCCCCGATGGGGAGGACTGGGCTGGCTCTGCGGGCTTCTGGGGGTGGAAGCTCTCCTGCAGCCCCCCAATTGTCCCCTCTCCCCAGATGGCAGCCTGCGGCAAGTGCAGCCGGGCTGATGGCCGAGTGGTGTGATGTGCCCAGTGTGGGCATACTCCGGGCACTCCAAGCCAGGACTGCTTTGCAAGCGGGACACCCCTGAGAGCTGTCTGTCCGGGGTGGGGGTCGGGACCCTTTAAGCACAGCCCTCGGCTAGCTTGAGACAGCATCTCCACGCTCTAAGTCCTCCTCTGATGCCCTGCTGGCACTGCTTCCGGCCAGCCTTAAGCCCGGTTCAGGGTCCACTCAATGTGGACATGCTAGTTCGAATTAGCAAAACGCTAATTCGAACTAGTTTTTTAGTCTGGATCCGTTAGTTCGAATTAGCTTAGTTCGAATTAACCTTGTAGTGTAGACGTACCCTTAGAAAGTTTGAGCATCTGTCTGTGTGTCCGTAAGTCCGTCCATCCTTCCGTGGGTGAGTCCGTTTGTTGAAGAACTCCTCCGAATGCAAGGTGGACAAACAGGGTCTTCCAGGGTGAGCCCCTCGCAGGCCCCTCCACTGCCGTGGTCCCCTGCGCCTCTGCAGGGACAGGGGACTGCAGCTCCCATGGGCCTTTGACTGCCGTTCCCAGCCAGTGGGAGATGCATCTTCCCGGACCTGCTGGTGGTTGGGTAAATAGAGCGGCAGTGGCCTACCCGGGGCTCATCCCGGTGAGCTGAGCAGTTTTATTGCCCACCCCTATCCAAAATGCAAAGAGCTAAGCCCTCCCAATTGGGAAAGTCCAAATTAGGCAGCTGCCTCTTCTCCTCACTTACAGCAAGGGCGGGATGTAATTGCCATGGCAATGGGATGCACCTCGAATGGGATTGTTTTCCAGCACGTGGAAAGGGAGGGGGATGATAGGAGGCAGCGACACTGCCGAGCCACCAGAGGAGGCCACAGCAGGAAGAGAGTAGCCAGCGGGGGCTGGGGTTCTGAATATTGCAGGCCCATAGCCCAGGTAAGCCCCACCCATCCCCATGAAAAGCTGGAGGCCAGGGGGCGGCCCCGCCCCACCCCCACCCCCAACTCAACTGGGGAGGGGGTGGCTGGTGGAAAACCCAGCTCTGGCCCTTCCACCCCTGCCTGGGCGACAGGGGAGGGATCACGCGAGGATTACCTGTTGAGTTCCCTCCCTCTGGGCACCTGGTATTGGCTGCTGTGGGCAGGCAGGGCACTGGGCACCTTTGGTCGGACCCAGTCTGGTCGTTCTTCTGTTCTTATGGCCTGGGAGGGCAACCCATCCTCACCTTGCCCCCCAGGAGGAGCCTGGAGCAGCACCATCCTCGCTGCCACACCATCTCCAGATAGCATCCCCTGTCCTGAGCCCCCACAAC